ATGTTTATTTGTGTTTGATGTTTTATTCTGTTACTAAGGCGCCTGTCCTTCCTGATGTCTCTGCAAATCCTGTCCAAATTTTAATTTTTAACAAACCACTAAACCAAATAGGGGGCAAAGAGAACAAAATGTAAAGGAAGAAAAGAAAAAAGATAGGATGACAGTTGGATAACTGTAAGAAAAATGTTAATGCAACTCTTCAGCTGTGTATATAAAATCAATTCATCTACCTCAGAATGCCTCAAAGTACCCTGTGAAACAGTCTGAACAAGCACCAAATCCAGTTAATATGTGGTGCACAAGCCTCATAAAGTATACAAAAAACTTACTTGACCTTCCCTGCCAAATCCTCTTTGATTTGTGTATCACATGCTATCCCCAGTGGGAGTGGAGTTGTTTTAGCAACAGGGGCAGCGCTGTCAATCCAGAAAGCAGAGGGCAGGACTAGGTGTGACCAGGTACTGACTGACAAGCTACAGGCTTGTGAATCAGCAGTGACAATTCTGAAATCAATCCACAGCCTACATATGAGAGTAGAAATTCTGTCATAAATTCAGAAGCAGTGTAGCATCATTGCCACACCACCACAGAAAACTACATTATGTGGGCATCACTGACATACAGGTTCAACAGGTATTTGTGGTATTTGCAGGGGACTAGGCAAAAACTGTAAGTACAGATGCATGTGCAATTAATTGTTGCAGTGCACATTCTTTTTTTAATATTCGAATATAGTTCTACTTTAACTAACCAAGATGTTTCATGAGGTAAGAGTTGAATATTCAAGGCTTTCTGGGCATAAGGTTTTTACTATTTAAGGAGATCAAACTAGGTTGCACAAAGCTCAGTATTTATAATGTAGGGTATTTTATATCCAAAAAGTCAATATAATTTTATACAAAAGCATACCTTTAAAATAAAAAATGCATAGCATCCAACAATAATAGCAAATTTCTAATTAAAGTAAGCTCATTAGTTACCATTTCTGTGGCCTATAATAAGTGGCATTGAAAACGTTAGATATTAAAGATGAAGGTTAGATGATATCAAAGAATACACTGGTAAGTATTTTAACCTTCATTGCAACCATATGAGAAGATCAGACTGGGTCACAAAACATTTAGTAAACAAAATGGGGGTAATTTATATCCAGAAAGTCAAAATTGTTTGAGTTTATATGAAGGCCATAACCCTAGAACAAAATGATAAATTATGAAAACAATTCTACATCATATGATATGCGAAATTGTGTTCTGTTTATTTTTCTGCACCTGACCGCACGTAAAATTTATATCCGCCTACCTAACACTAGACTTATTAGACCTGTTTGGACCTTACCTTATTAGACCTTATCAGACCTGTTTGGAATGCTTGTGTGAAAGGGGCATTAGATATGATTATATTAAAGAGACTATGTTACTTAAGGAGGCAAATGTCTGCAGGCATTAAGTGCAGGTTCTAGGGGTACTTTCAAATTCATGCAACAGTCCCCCAATCTTCCTGTCAAGGTCAGATCTTAATCGGTGAGATGGTAATGGACCAAAAGGCATGTGTGTGGGCCATGGCTTAATGGGATGCTCTGGAACGTTAAGTATTAGAATGAACTGGCATGATGGACATGATGAGAATGTTTGGGAGGCTACTTCAAATATGCGTGGCCAAGTCTAGCTGCCTAAGCTTCACATCTACTGCAGTGCACCCACTTCACCCGTGACAGATTTTCTTTTATTGTAAGTATATTTTACTTGTATCCTTCTAGTGATACAACACTTCTCTCTAGTGCTGAAATATTTTGTTGATCATATTGCTGTTAGCAGTAGTTACAGTGTGGTAGAAACCAGTTTTTACTCATTCCTTTGGATCATGTGTTCAGTTAAACCACCAATACAATAGTATTTATAGAGTAGTTTGCAAACTGGAGTAAGATTGCATTATGGTGATGGAAATATCTACAGATTACATAAAACTTTGAATTATACTATACATTATGAAAGAAGATAAAATGGCTAAATCTGCAAGAGCAGGAATAAAGTAGCCTTGTGCTACTTCTGAATACTGTCCACTTAGAGCACTCTGTCCTGTAAGCCCACCTAACCAGCTCCTCATCCTACCTATCAGCTTACAACTCTGGTTGCCTGGTTGCACCTTTCAGCTGGGCTATGGCAACTCAGCACAAAAGGCAAATTCTAGGTA